TAATATTAGTCTCATGGCTGCCAAGTTTTCATTCAACTTGGATAATGTACAGGTCAACCTAAGTCATTCTATGATGATAACCCCCAAGCTGAAATTACTTACAGTGCCGTTTATTTCTCTTTGTAGTCTCTGTTAGTCACAGTCATCTTCAGCTTTGTTCCATCAATCTGGGACCCAGATGAAGGAATCATCCACTCTTTGGACATGCTCTTCATGTACCAAAAGGAAAAGAGAGATGATAGAAACAAGTGATGACTCCGAAATTTTCTGCTTAGCAGTGGCCTACATCACTTCCTTTCACATTTCATTTCATTCAAGGCATAAGGCCAAGCCTCCCATTCAACAAGGTGAGGAAGTAAAGACTTCCTATTGGGAGAGACAAAAATATTTGGGAACAGTAACACAACCTACCACAGAGGTTTTCAGACTCAAGTAAGTATCCTTTTGACTGACTTTTTGGCCACTTATAAAATCAAACTTTTTAAGGTTTTGCTAATATACAATTTTCTGATATCTAGGATGGGATTTAGTCTAATTTAATATTTTCTATGAATCTACAAAAAAAATAAGAAAATCACTTGAAAAATCAGTAAACACCTGGAGGCTCCAGGCATACAATCGTGACCTAAGTCTAAATAATTTATAAACCAAACTAACTGAAATCTTTACCATATCACTCTAAATGAAGAAAAATAACTGATTACCACCCCAACTCCCATCCCAGCCATCAGAGAACTCTCAAAAAGATTTCCATATAGTTAGTATTTTAAATGAGACCATTCAATCAATCTCTTCAAATCTGATTAAAATTTCTCTTGCCATTTTTGTGTGATACTGCAAGGAACAGATATTCATTTTAATGTACACAGATGGCAAATTATAGATTTTAGGTTTAATTGTATGCAATATGTACATTCAGGCCGGTTTAGGTTTTGCTTTTTGGTCTAGCAATTCTTGGCTTAGAACTATGTCTTTTCTAAAAGTTATTTGTAAATAGGTGGTACCCCAGGCACTGAGCCTAGCTTTGCTTAAGCTGTCTTTATAGTAGTCTATTTTAAGATACTTTGCAAATTATTGCTTTGTTTTCTAAAAATGAAGAAAATTATCTATTTTGGGATGTTAGCATCTTCTTTTGCAATAAGGAGCTCATGATCTGCCCTACAGTCAGCTCCACATCTTGTTTTTACTATGTACAACTTCTCCAACTTCAGCTGCAAATAAAGAGTTGGGCCATAAAGAAAGCTGAACACTGAAGAACTGATGCCTTCGAGCTGTGGTGCTGCAGAAGACTCTTGAGAGTCCCTGGGACTGCAAGGAAGTCAAACCAATCAATCCTAAAGGAAATCAACCCTGAATATTCATTAGGAGAACTGATGCTCAAGCTGAAACTCCAATACTTCGGATACATTATGAAAAAAGCTGAATCATTGGAAAAGACCCTGATGCTGGGAAAGATTGATGGCAAAAGGAGAACTGAGCAGCAGAGGGTGAGATGGTTAGATAGTATCACTGACTCAGTGGACATGAATCTGAGCAAACTCAGGGATATAGTGGACAGAGGAACCCAACATGCTGCAGTCGATGGGATTGAAAAAAGTCAGACATGACTTACTGACTGAACAACAACAAAAGCTTCTTCTTAAATGGTAATTTATGATTACATGGTTTAAAACAATTGCCTATTTGTCTTTACAGTAATAGATGTGACAACTAATCACATTGTACAATAAAATTTATTCACTCATGGGAAAATAATAATAATTATAGCTAAAACAGAATTCAACTAGCATTGTTCTAAGTGCCATACATGTATTGATTCATTTAACACTCACAACAACCCTATAAGATACCAATGTTATCTGTATTATGTAGATGAAAGATTTTTTTTTTAGATGAAAGATTTATAATACTTTAATAAAGATCTAAGTTCAGCTTTGGAAAAATAAGTTATGTTTGGCAAGGTTTATCAGTGAGGCTAGGAAGTTGGCCAGTTAAAGCAGGAAACCAAGAGAAGAAAGGGAAGTAGCAGCAGAAGCTTGTTTAGAGGCTTCTTGAAACTTACTCTATTCTCTAAATAGAAGAATTTCAAACAAACCAACAAACCAAAAAAACTTAGGCAACTCTTTTAAGGTGTTAGTCAAAGGAAAACTATTTTCTATTTAGCTCTAGGTCAACAAATAATACCTTTTAGTTTTTGTGAAGGGCACAATGTGGAACTTATATATATATTATCATCTTGAAACATTAGCCTTTTTAATCTTCAAAAGAGTACAGAAGCTCAGGAACTGTTCTAGTTAGAACAAACACAAAGGGCAAAAATTCCCATTTTTCCTTTCTATGGTTGACTCTCTTCTCAATGGCTATGAGACCACACCCCATGGTAGGATAACTGCACCTATCTAGTAGCAAAGAGGACGTCTAGGAGTTGTCTGACAACCCAGACACATGCTAAACTAAAGAGTCATTTTGTTTGTAGGTATTTTGATAAGTTATTGTATGTGTATAAAATGCTTGTACAGGGATAACTATATATGTTATATGACTTAATAGTTGAAGAATTAACCTAATGGAAATGGTAATTAACTCATAGTTCCAAAAAAATCATTAAACATTTTAAAAATTATATAAGATGAAGAAAATAATCAAAATTATTAATGAGTCACATTTTAATTCAATTTGTATTAGTTTTAATTTGCTGTCTAACTTTGTATTAGTCTTTTCAAACAAGAGGTTAAATTTCAGTGGACTTGAAGTTGTTCTAAGTATTAGGAGTAACATCTGTGCATTCTCACCAGCTCATCCTTGAAAGTAGAAACTCCAGAAAACAATCTCTTACTTGGTTTACTTTCTACATGTGTTAGGTATACTATAAAATATATAAACCTTTAAACACTGGAAAGAATTTTCATAGGAAAAATAGAGAAACTACGAAAAACCAGGAGGGAAATAATAACTGAATTTGTCAATAGTTTGGATGTCATTCTGAGAAAGGAGGCAGTCAACATTGGTAACTAGTTATACTAAGAGATGGGACAGTATTCAAGTTTATGACATTGATAAGTCAGACTGGAAATGTTAGAGAGATGTAGTATTTGCTACTTTTCCCCCAAACCTAATTGCCCTTTTCCTAAATATATTTACTTTGACTCATCAAATTTAGAGATAAGTAACACTAAGTAGTAATAAAAACAGTCTAAATGATTTGCAGTTGTCTTAACTTGGAGGAAAAAATATACATATAATAATAGCTTGCTCCATATTCTTCTGGTTAAAGAGAGAGAGAGAAAACTTAAACACGACAAGACTGTGACATGCCAGAGGTCACATACTGGTAGGTTTAGCCACATTTCTCATTTACTAATTTAGTGCAATATTTTAAGATTCAATGCATTACTAAATCTGATGATCAGTTAATGATGCACCTGATATACACCCTTCCCTTTTCATAAAAACTATCCCATTAAACTTTGTGGTGGTGGGTTAGTCACTAAGTCACCTCCCACTCTTGGGACCCCATGGACTATATAACCTGCCAGGGTCCTCTGCCCATGAGATTTTCCAGGCAAGAATACTGGAGTGGGTTGCCATTTCCAGATCCAGAGGATCTGGACCCAGGGATCGAACCCGGTTATCCTGCATCGCAGGCAGATTCTTTACGGATTGAGCCACTAGGGAAGCCATATTAACCTTTGTGAATCTATGCGTTTAAAACTAATTGTTTCAGGATAACGCCTAAAGAAATTGGTGGTGGGGGGGGGAGCGAAAGTGGACTGTACATAGGCTACATAGGCTCAAAGAAACAGAGATTATCACATCCTCGGCTCTTTTCCTACAGGTCCAAAAGTATAAATGGATAAAGAGATACGAGGCTGAAAATGATTTAGAGAACCAGGATCTGGATGCTTCTATTTTACAACGATGAGGAAGCTTTAAAATACAGAAGCATCTACAATTTTGCTCTCAAGCAAACTAGTATTAGGGGAATCATTGTTGTTCAAAAGTATTCTTGAGATATCACTGCACATTTTTAAAAGCAATTTTTTAAAAAGGAAAGTTGTCACGTTTTGGAGTTTCCCCTTCTCTCTTTGCCCTCCCCCGAATTCCAATCCTCCAAATGGCAAAGCCGCATAGCTGAAAGGATTTTGCTCATTTTTTCCAAAACACTTCACATCTGGGCAGTCGCCAACCATGGAAAGTTTCAAGTAAACGTAACATTTGGGAGGACAAGCTTGTCTTGGGCTGCCCTCGCGGGTCCGCGGCCCTCAGAGGCGTCGCCACACGCCCTTACCGGATAGCCGGCGGCCAGCGGCAAGCTTGGACAGCCGAGCTCCGACGGCCAGGCCAGACTCCAGCCACGACCAAACCCACTGATGGTCGGCCCCTGCTCATCAGTTGCCCAAACAGTTGGAGGTCGCAGAGTCCAGGAGCCCATCCGTTTTGAAAAGGACGAGACCACTGACCCCCCAGTTTCTAACTGTGGCAGTCTCGATCCTGACCAAGCCAGACAGAAGGGGCTACTCTGGAGACCCGCTTGGCTCTCCAGCCTCACACGTCAGTTTGATTCCACGCCCCGCCCCTCCCCCCCCCCTCCCCTGCCGCCAGTCAGCCGCCCGACACTCCGCGCATCAGGCGCCGAGAGAAATTTGACTGCACCAGTCACCAATCATAAGCGAGGTCGAGGATGTGAGCCAATTGGAGCTGGCGGAGGGGGCAGGCTGTCAGCGTCCTCCCGCCTCCGGGAGGGTGCGCGCGGAATGTCTCGGGCCCGCCCCTGCGCCTCAGCCTCAGTGCGGAGCCCTACGCGGTGTGAGCAGAAGCCGTAGCGGGCAGTGTGAGGAGAAGCGGCGGCGGCGGCGGCGGCTAGAACCACACCCACGTCTCTGCCCCTGTACTCTTTTGCCCTCTGGCCGTCCAGCCGGAGACCGCATTCTCAGAAAACAGCGGCCGCCCACGTCCGGAGCATCCTCCCCTGTTCAGCGGGCGCTGACGGACCCAGCGGTATGATGCGACTCCGAGGCTCGGCGATGCTGCGGGACCTGCTCTTGCGCCCGCCCGCTCCCGCCTGCGCGGTTCTGAGGCGGGCGCAGCCCCTCGCCACCCTGTGCCGGCGACCCTTGGGCGGGGGACGAACGGGCCAGGTGGCCGCCGCGCGGCTCTACCCGTGGTGGGGCGGGGGCGGCCGGTCGGCGGGGCCCCTCTCGAGGGGCCTGTCCAGCTCGCCCTCGGAGATCCTACAGGAGCTGGGCAAGGGAGGCACGCAGCAGCAGCAGCAGCCGCCGCCGCAGCAGCAGCCTGGGGCGTCGCCGCCCGCAGTCCCGCAGGCTCCCGGCCCCAAGGACAGCCCGGGGGAGACGGACGCGTTCTCCAACAACGAGGGCAAGGAGCTGGTGCCTTCAGGCGAAAAGTGAGTGTCTACGCGAGGCGCAGGAGGTTTCGTCTCGCCTGGGTCCCGGGCCCGGGAGGGGCCTTCGGTGGGGCGGGATGGGAGCGGAGGTTCGAGAAAGGGAAAGAAAGAGATGCCGGGCGGCCTGCGCCTTCTGCACCATGTGATTAGGCCCGGCCCCGCCCGCGCCCCTCTCTGGGCCCTTACTTCCCTTCCCCGCCGCTGGGTGGAGCTGCCAAGGGTCCGGAGGGCCCCTCTGGTGCACCCCCACCCCACCCCACCGACGCCTGGGCTGGAGCTGTGGCTGCGTGTCTGTCCCACGCCGCGTGCTCAGCGCCCCGGCTCAGGGCTGCAGTGCCTGGCCGCCCGCCCAGCCCTTGGCGGTGATGCCACACGAACATCACCGAGTGACATTTAGGAGTCTGGCGACGGGCAAAGCCTGTGCCTTTCTGACTCCTTGCTTCTCTGGGTCCGAGTTTCCTCTATGAGTACCCCTTTCTTCGATCTCTGCCATCATCTCTTGAGAAGCCTGGAGCAGCAGAATATTATTCACATTTCTGAAGTGGCTTCTTAAGGCTTGTGTAGAGCCATCTGGGGCACCGGAAATAACGTTTCCGCAATGAGATTAGGAGGAAAAGAGTCATGTGGCCGAGAAGACGGGGCACGTAGTACAGACCACCTGTTTGCACTGGGGACCAACCAGCTTTGGCCCGTCTGACATCTTCCATGAGATGGGCGAATTTTTGAAAATACATGTGAAAATAGCCAGGATTGAATCTGACCGGTAAAGTGCTAACTCTGAAAAAAATGAATTAAGTAGCTTTTGTGGTTTAAATGAATTGTGGTAGGGTGATAACTCACCTATTGTGCACAGCAATTTAATCTTAAAACAAAATTGGGTTTTTTTTCTCTACGCAGTACGTGAGGCAGTTTCCTGGATATTTTGTCTTGAGTTAAAATAAATGGACACAAAGCTTTTTTTCCCCACTGTAGGTAAATATTTACTTGTCTGTTTTCTTTATATCTTACTATTTTTCTGACTTTGCACTGACCGTATGTGATCTGTTTTTTGCTCCTCTTCTACTTATATTGCTATCTTAAGTCAAACTGAAAGTGGGATTCTTATACTTTTCAATCTCAGACCTGGCTTAATGTTTCCTGTGATTGAAATTGGCACCATCCTAAAACATTCTGAGCTAAAATTGTTCTCCCAGACTGAAAAATGTTACTTTAAAAAAATCGGTTAGTGATGGGCAACATTTGTGATCTTCTAGGATAATGGTTTTGTGCCCTTATGATTATGGGCAGGTCATTGAACATCCCCAGTTGGATGACCCAAATGTGGTCACGTTCTGAAAAGCTAGACTTTTGTCAAATCTCTGCATCTTTAATGTTTTTTAGAGACTAGAATTGTGTATGTTTATGTGGTACTCACTTTACTTATCTGAATTACCAGGCATGTGACTAGTTTAAGTACAGGTGTCCAGAGTTGCAGAATTGAAAGAAGAATGTGATTACTAGCATTTAAAAGTTGACCTTAACGGTTGTTTGATGGGAACGGCTTTCTCTAGAAAATGTCTTCCATTCTGTCTCTTCAATGGCTCTAGTATCCCTCTTGTTTTCCCCTTATTGCGAGAAAATCGAGCTTTTGTGATTTACATGTTTTCCAGAAGCTTATACTGCCATTGCCTTTGAAATAAATCATTTCTTAGCAGTAACTTTGGAACACTTACTTTGTCTAATGCTTATTGACAATTCTACATAAAAATGTCCCTTCCTGTTCCTTCTAGCCCCCAAAGAAAACCAGTCTACTGAGGAACTCCTTCAAGAATATTTGTTCAGATGTCCTGGGAGTTTGAATGGCCAATAAGATAACCTTGTTTACTGTAGTTCAAGAGTCTGTTTTTGACACCAAAGTTTGGAGTAATAGCTAGATGAGTTTAGGAGCAGTCCAAGTATATGATAAACCTGAGAGCTTTCAATCAAGGATTTCAAGAGTGAACCCCAGCTATCTCCAGTTTACATATAAAGTGAAGACTACTGGTCTCAATGATTGTGAACAAAATTTTAATCTGTTTGAAGATTCTATTTCTTGAGTGATCTGATTTTGAAATGTAGCTTCCTTCCCTTGACTTCATCCATTTTGCCTTTATGTGGTAAAACATTTCTCTTATTCTGGGAGGTAAGGTTCCAGTTGATCCTGTTATCCTTTCTTACACTCAGCTTCCAAAGTATAGGTCATTCCTCAGTCAGCAAGTCACCTGGGATGCCAGCACTCACTCGGGATTCTGCCGGTTTCTGTAGAGGATTATTAAAAGAAATACCCATGTGAAAAATAAAATGAGTTTAACATTTGTTATGTATAACTCTTCATTTTTAAAATTACATCATTTATTGTAAAACCTTACAGGGACATCAGCATTTGGATTTTAGGCTCAAATGAAAATATGTTGTTGTTTGGTTTCTGGAAAAAATTTATGTGAAACTATGTGATATTCACTGTTTACCCTTTTGCCTTGCTTACCAGTAAGCTCAGAGTGAATTTAATTCTTAACCATAGTAATTTTGTTAGTTCACGTGGCTGGGATGTTTGCTTTTCCTCCTTTCCTTGGTCTTATATTTTATTATCCATGCAATATTATATTTTGGAAGGAGGTAGAATGTGAGTTATCTCTTTTCATAGTCAAACTCTGAACCATTGTCATCCAAGGCTATGCTCTGTCTGTCAACAACTTCAATTCTGGTTTAGGTTACTGATCAAGGTTAAGATTTTACTACTGTCCTGAGTATGTTACAGGAAAATGTAATAATCTCTGCTCAGTTTTCCCTGCAGTGCTCTTATTTAATTTTGTTAGTAGTATTCCATCATTTTGGAAACCGCTTAACACAACTCTTGACTTTTTAAATTGTTCTCTTTTTCTGTGTCTCTTTTGGTGTTTGCTCACTGGGTATAAATCCTGAGGCTCTGAGGCCTCTGCTTTTCCCCCACTTGTCTGCCTTCTCAGCAGCATATCCTCTAATCTTTGTGTAGGTAATAGTTCATTTTTCATCCAAGCTTTGTTCTTATATTTATCTCCACATACCTAATGACTTCGGGGCTTCCAGTGGTAAAGAATCCACCTGCCAAGTAGGAGTCACAGGTTTGATCCCTGGTTAAGGAAGAGCCCCTGGAGAAGAAAGTGACAACCCATTCGAGTATTCTTGCCTGGGAAACCCCATGGGCAAAGGATCTTGGAGCAGGCTGTAGTCCATGGGGTCACAACGAGTCATATGCAACTTTGCAACTAAATAACAGTCTGATGACTTCAGGTTTAAAATCTTCACCATATATCTGTTCTTTTTTCTCATTTAAACCTATTTTGCATGTTGTTTCAAGATTAATTACAGAGTTATAATTTCAAAATACCACTCCTTCCAGAAAACTGGTAATGGATTGGGATGCATGTTATATCAAACAATGCTGTGTAGCATTTTAAATTTTTGATTAACTTCTATTTTATGCCAATGCTTGCCCAACATGAACATTTTTATCATACTGTCTTCTCAAGAATGCCATACTTCACTTCTGCAAAATGTAGATGTGCATATTCTGTCTTAGTGAAGGATCTCTGGGAAGGGTTAACAGGTGGAGAAGAGGGAACATTTTTTTAAGTTACTTTTTGTTTGGGCATTATACTATTTAATTAGTTTAGAGAAGGATGATTCTGGGAAAGTATCAGTAGGTGTATGCCCTTTAGAAAATAGATAATGCATACAGGATACAGTATCAAAAGTATTCCATTAAAACAAGATCATTTTCCCCCTATCAGATTGGCAGATGTTAAATTAAGTGATGGAAAGGGTATGGGAAATAGGAACTCTTTACATTGCTGGTGGAAGTAGAAATTCAACTATCTTGGAGGGCAGTTTGGTAGTAATCTGTTAAAAGCTGCACATGATGCAGTAATGCTGTTTGCTCAACTGTATAATTAAAAATATATTAAAAGTGAAAGTGCAAACGGATGATTTCAGTTAGCTTCAAATAGTATGATTTTGGTTTTGTAATTCGTATTTATTCTTAATAAATGGTAGTCAGCATGAAAAGAATCATTACCTCATATTTTGTGCGAATTGAATTTCAAAGTAAAATTAAGTACTTAAGTGTTTCAGCAACATTGAATTAGGTCTACTATATAGAATAGCACAGATAATGAAGTTGAAGCAATATTGGCATCCCATCCAGGTAATACATTGTTAAATAGAAAGACAGAACCTCTGTTTAAATAGGGGACAAAATCTGTTATGATCGTTTAATCATTTGCTTTTAATTTGCAAAAGTGAACATATTTACAATTCATTTAAATTGAAATCAAGATTGAAACTATATTTGGTTCAATCCCTGGGTCTGGAAGATCCCCTGGGGGAGGGTTGGCAACCCGCTCCAGTGTTCTTGTCTGGGAAGTCCCATGGACAGAGGAGCCTGGCAGACTACATACAGTCCATGGGGTCACCAAGAGCTGGACACGACTGAGCTACTAATAATTTACAATACAAACTTACAAACCCTCCTTCATAAAGAAAATATATTTAATTTTGGATGTGGAACTTTGCAGTGAACCTTCAGTCATTTTATTTGTGATTTGCTCAATATTTTTCTAGATTACAGTTGTCAGCGGGTTTTAGTTTTGTTTGAATGCCCAACCATAACGTACATCTTAAAATTTTTTGTGGCCTAATGTTTATTTTAAACCACATGCATCTATTAGCCTTTGATAATACCTGAACATAATCTGTAATAAACTGCATGCTCTTAATTAATAATACTTAGATGTCATTCACTGAAGGAGCATGAATTGATTCCTGAAGTTACTCTGCTTGAGTTTAGCTTCTTGTTTTTAGGCTTTATATTTTTTACAAAGAAGTCTGCCTACCTAAAAATCAACTGACTTAGGGAGTTAGTCTTTTTGGTGAAGACTTGTATGTAGAGAAAAGTGGTGGTGGTGGGGAGTAGACACAGTTTTAGTCTGAAAAAGATCAGGGTC